ATCCCAAAGTCACTCTCCATCATGCTGAACTCCTGCAGCCTGACATGAACACAATGACGAGGAGGGTCGAAGCAACTGCTGGGAGGAATCAGACCGGTCAGTGTTTTAGAAGGGAGCAGAGAGTGAAACAGCTCTTATCCCCCAGGGAGCTTTTTGTGCCCATAGCCAGCAGAGAGGAAGCCCTCTTCGGGCAGAGAAAGATGCCGTAGAGGCAGATTGTGGGGAAGTGGGTGTGTAACAGCAGTTGCAGGCTAAATAAATTTAAGAATTTGAGATTTAATGCTTAACAGTTGGACCTTGAGAGAGCAGATTGCTGAGGGCAGATAGTATGTTAGCACAATGACTCTCTCTATTAGTGTCAACAGCAAGGGTGATTAAACGGATGAAACCATTGAAATGTAGCTGTGCCTCGGTATTGCTGCTAAATAAGAATAAGTAATAATATCAGCTCTTGAAGTGTCACAGCAAATTATGCAACACAGCATTCACCCTGAGTGAATTTTCAGGCAAAAGGGGAAACTGTATGGAATAAATAACAAAAAGGCAAACTCAGAATCCAAACAGCAAAACTATTACTGTCATTTCACAGCCAGCTCAGCATAAAATCAATTTAGGAAGATGGATAAGAACTGCTAATATGAAACCATGGATGTGCCCCTTATTTATTATACACTTTTTTTGAATGCAGCAAAGTTCTAACAGGATTTTTGACCACTCCTTTTATAAGGAAAGAGTATAAGGTTAATTTAAACTGGAATACTAAGTGTTGCATATTTTTCTGTCTGATATCAGGCAATGAATGTTCAATGAATGTCTCAATTGGTTTTGATAAACATATTTGAAACTGTCCCTTTCTGTGAATTTTCCCTTTTAGGTTAAGTGTGCAGCATGCTGAGGTGAGAGGGATTTACATGGTGCAGCATTTGATTCAGTAAATGCTGCAATGCGACACTATCAGTAACATCAATTCTTTATCTATGGCTGTGTGAACGTGTGGGATTTGTGTGGATATTTTCAATACCCGATCCAAGCTATGACATCTAATTAAATAGATAGGATAGAATAATCAGATTTTATTCCAAGCTTATAGGTTTGGCTTGAAGCTTTGGCTTTAAGCTAGATGTTTACACTAAGAGTGTTCAAAAAAAGAAAGTGTTTACCTGAACATCCATCAAGAAACATACTAGAGCTACAGGCTGAGGAGGCACATATGGGGAAGTGTAGGTGTTCTTTGAAGCTGTATATGGAAGAGCAGAAATCATTTTTCTTTGAGAATTCTCCCTTCAGCTTGGTGCAACGATCTGTATTGATAAAGTTTTCACATGTTAAATTAAGCCTGTCCGAGTGTTACCTGGGAAAACAAATATCCTTCAGCAGCAAAACCGGGAGTCTTGTCCCAAACATTACAAAAGGAAAAGGTTAGTTTTTATTAAACTTGTGATCCTGTAATCTACAGCCAATTGGATGAAGCCCTACCCAAAAAATAGGCATGTATCTATACAATCGAAAGTTTCAAGCGCAACTACAAGTAAAAGCTCAGAACTGTGAGGGGGTTGTTTTGTCCTAATTTGTGTCTGTTGCTTTGTTTGGATTTATTTTGCATTGTCATGTGTGGTAATACAGGCAAAATTTTGGATTTATGTAAGAATGATGATGGAAGCTCCAGTTCCAGGATAAAAATGTTTGCATGTAAATTGCCTGGTTGTATTTGGCAATGAAGTTAATAAAAAAAAATAAAAAAAGTGAATCCTATTTTTACTGTTTTTTGTGAGTGAAGATTTCTTTATGTAGTAAAAGTCCCAATCCATACGATAGTATCGCCAGCCCCGTAACCAGCATTGAGAACATCGAGGTCATGTCTGCGGTATTTTCCTAGTTTGGATTTTTTAATTATTATTATTTTAATTCAGACAAATGTCAAGCTATATGATGAAAATCGTTCTGACTTTGATTGGTGTAAAGATCAGCATGCATTCTCATTTGTTTAAGTCCACAATCACCTTATAAAATCACGTTATTTTAAAAGAACTCGGAAATTGCATCCGACCTTGCATTCTATCATATTACAAAGCTCCTTCACAAAAGTCAGCCGCCCACGCTCTGAACACCATGAGACAGAATAGGCTAGCAGTTTTTAGTGGTGGAATCTGCAAATGGAGGCAAGATGGAGAAATCTACGCTGAAACAAACTAAACTCAGCTTTGGAAAGCCAACAAGTCAGGAGAAAAGAAAGAGAGAAGGAGGTGTGTTCATTTCGCCAGTAAATATATCATTCAAAGCATGGCTAGGAATAGGATGCTCATCGTCCTCAGCAAGCATTGCAGTTAATGTGAATACTCCACTTCAGATAATGGCTGCATACATACGAGCATCTACCACACACACACACACACATACACACACACCGTTCTCACTCACTCACTCACTTACATTCATTCTCACACTCATACTCACTCATTCACTCACTCACTCACTCACTCACTCACTCACTCACTCACTC